TTTTTTTTTTTTTTTGTAGAGACAAGGTCTCACTATGTTGCTTAGGGTGGTCTTGAACTCCCGGGCTCAAGCAATCTTCTTGCCTCAGTCTCCCTAAGTGTTGGGAATACAGGTGTGAGCCACTGCTAATATAATCATGTGTATGGTTTTATTTATGTATTTTTTTTCCTCCATAGGGAAACTTTCCTTCTATGACTCAAGACACACTTCTGGATCAAGCCAACAGGAGAGCCTTCTGCTAAGTATCTACTCACTCTTCAAAATTAAGGATGATAACTTGTTATGGTCATGAGGTATTTTTTCCTTTGTGTTTTCTGAGTTTTTGATAATTTACCTCTCTCTAAGTGGAGACTTCAAAGGAAACTCTTCTTTTCATCTGCTGCTTTCCCTGCCTGGTGTCCCAGTGTCCTCGGACCCTGGACGAGGCTGTGGATGAGCATGGAGAGCATCCGCTGCCAGCTGGCCCACTACCTGGAAGATCTGGAGGATGTGGACTTTAAGAAGTTCAAGATGTATCTGGAAGACTATCCTCCCCAGAAGGGCTGCATCCCGCTCCCCCGGGGCCAAACAGAGAAGGCAGACCACGTGGACCTCGCCACCCTAATGATCGACTTCAATGGGGAGGAGAAGGCGTGGGCCATGGCTGTGGGCATTTTTGCTGCCATCAACAGGAGAGATCTTTATGAGAAAGCCAAGAGAGACACACCCAAGTGGGGTGAGTGCAAAGAAGACTATTTTTTATTTTTATATTTTGAGTCGGGATGTCACTCTGTTGCCAAAGCTGGTCGGCAGTGGGTCGATCACAGCTTACCACAGGCTTGATCTCCTGGGCTCAGGCTATACTCCCACCTCAGTCTCCTGAGTACCTGGGACAACAGCCCATGCCACCATACTGGGATTTTTTTTTTTTGAGACAGGCTAGTCTTGAACTCCTGGGCTCAAGTAGTCTTCCCTCCTTGGCCTCCCAATGTGCTGGGATTGTGGGCGTGAGCTACCATGCCCATCCAGGAAGACTATTTAAAAAAAAACTTTTAATTTTAAAGATGTGCGGTACAATTCAGGGTTAAGTATACAAATGTTCATTGTTCAGGTACCCTTGTTGATGAGGTGTGCCCCCCTGTCTGGCAGAATCCCACTACTGCTAATCCTGCTCCCTACCCCCCAGCAATTTCCCACTACTGACAATCCTTATCTTATAGTATTACGATAATTGTTCAAGGTACACTTATTAGTGAGAACATGTGATACTCAGTTCTTTGTTTCTGTGATGGATCACTCAGTATTATAGACTCAAAAGTCTATCCAAGTTGCTGTGAAGTTCATAATTTTGTCCTTTATGGCTGCATAATATTCCATTGTGTATATGTACCACAATTTTAAAAATCCAGTCCTCTTTAGATGGGCAGCACAGTTGGTTTCATGTTTTTGCTATTGTGAACAATGCTGCAACATTGTTGCATGTGCAACAATGCATGTGCAGGTATCTTCTTCACAGAGTGATTTGTGTTCCTATGGGTATATTCCCAGTTGTGGAATTGCAGGGTCATATGGAAGGTCAATTTTTAGGTCTTTTAGGAATCACCAAACTGTTTTCCACAGAGGTTGTACTAGTTTACACTCCCACCAACAGTGTAGAAGCATTCTCTTCTCACCATATCCTCTCCAGCATCTGTTGTTTTTTTTAATTGATGATGGCCATCCTCAGGAAGACTATTTAAAAAAAAAATTGTAATGAAGTACACATAACATAAAATTTGTCATCTTAATAATTTTTAAGTTGACAGTTCAGTAGTTTTAAGCACATTCACATTGCTGTGTAACCACTCTTTGGAACTTTTTTCATTGTGCAAAACTGAAACTCCTCACTCAGTAAACAATATTTCCTCATTGTCCCATCCTTCCAGCCCCTGGTAACCACCATTCTATCTTCTGTCTCTATGACTTTGATGATTCTGGGTCCTCATGGAAGTGGAATTGCACAGTCTTTGTCTTTTGTGTCTGGCTTATTTCACTTAGCGTAATATCCTCAGGGTTCATGCATGTTGTGGCATGTATCAGAATGTCCTTCCTTTTTAAGACTATTCCATTGTATGTAGGTATCACATTTCATTCATAGATACTTGAGTTGCCTCCATTTTTCATTATTATCACTGCTGTTATGCACACCAGTGTACAATATATCTCTTCAAGACCCTGCTTTGGATTCTTTTGAGTATATTCCCAGAAGTGGAATTTCTAGATCGCATGGTATTTTTGGGGAGGTGTCATATTGCTTTCTATAGTATCTGCACCCATTGTATCTTCCCACCAGTGGCACACAAGGGCCCCTGTTTCTCCATATCCTTATGAATACTTGTCATTTCCCATCTTTCTTTCTTTCTTTTTTTTTTTTTAAGTTGGAGTCTCAGTCACCCAGGCTGGAGTGCAGTGGCATGCTTCAGCCATCGTAGCCTTGATCTGCTGGGCTCAGGTGATCCTTCCACCTCAGCCTTCCAGTAACTGAAACTACAGGCACACCCCACAATGTCCAGCTAATATATATATATATTTATTGTAGAAATGAGATCTCACCAAGTTGCCCAGGCTGGTCTCGAGCCCGTGAGCTCAGGCAATCCTCTCACCTCGGCCTCCCAAAGTGTTGGGATTATAGGCATGAACCACTGTGCCCGGCCCTCACCTTTCCTTTTTTGTAGTAACATTCTAATGAGAGAGAGGTGGTATCTCGTAGTTTTGATTTTTATTCTCCTAATAATTAGTGACGTTGAGTACCATTTTGTGTACTTATTGGCCATTTATATATCTTTTTTTTAAAAAATTTATTTTATTTTACCTAATTTATCAAAAATATTATTTCAAAATATAAGCAACATGACAAGTTTTATTAATGAGATATTTTACATTCTTTTTTCATCTACATCTTTGCAATTTGGTGTACATTTTTCCTTTAATCTCCCCTCAATTAAGACTAACCACATTTCAGGTGGTCAAGAGCCACCTATAGCTAGTGGCTATCGTTTTAATACCTTCTTAATTTTTTTTTAAATTTAGAGTTATGCCAGGTGTGGTGGCTCACATCTGTAATCCCAGCACCTTAGGAGGCAAAAGTGAGAGGATTGCCTGAGTTCAGGGGTTCGAGACCAACCTGGGCAACTTGGCAAGATCTTGTCTTTACAATAAATAAAAAAATTAGCCTACTGTAGTGGTACGTACCTATAGTTCCAGATATTTGGAAAGCTGAGGCAGAAGGATTGCCTTAGACCAGCAGGTCAAGGCTGTGGTGGCCATGAATGTGTCACTGCACTCCATCCTGGGTGACAAAGTGAGACTCCAACTAAAAAAAAATTTTTTTTAGAGTTGTAGAGTACAAGTAGGGATTTACTATATAAGTAGGTTGGTTGCAGGTTAAATTTGGACTTCTAGCTTATATATCTTCTTTGGAGAAAGATCTATTCAAGCTCTTTCCCACTTTTAAGTTAGGTTGTTTGTCATTGATTTGTAGAAGTTCTTTATATAATATATTCTTGATATTAACTCCATATCACGTATATGATTTGCAAATATTTTCTCCCATTTTGTGGGTTGCCTTTTCACCCTGTTGTTTGTGTCCTTTGATTCACAGAAGTTGGTATGATTTTTAAAAAATTGCTTGTATTATCTTGACTTCCTCCTCTGTTTCCCTCTTGAGGTAGTGCAGTTTGCTTTTTCTAACTCCTCTAAAAGCCCAACTTGAATTTTTCCCTACCCCTGGGAGCTCAACTGGATAAGTGCTCCTTTCTCCAAGTCCCTCCAGCACCTGGACCTGCTCCAGGTTTCTATCCAGCTCTTCAGATCACATGCTTTGTCCAGTGTCTGCTTGTGTGATCAACAAGCTTGAGTCTCACTTCCTGTGACTTGGGGCACTCTCTCTTCTGACAGAATTGTGTAATTTGTGGGAAGAAGCCTTTTCTTTGGCCACTACTTGGGGAACTGGAATGTACAAGAAATTGTCTTTTTAAAAAAAAAAAATTTATTTTTTTATTTTTTTGAGTTGGAGAGTCTCACTTTGTCACTCAGGCTGGAGTGCAGTGGCACTCTCATGGCCACCGCACTCAACTTGCTGACCTCAGGTTATCCTTCTACTTTAGCCTTCCAAGTACTTTGAACTGCAGGCATGTGCCACCACTCCCGGCTAATTTTTAAATTTATTGTAGAGATGAGGTCTTGCCAGGTTGCCCGGGCTGGTCTCGAACCTGTGGGCTTAGGCAATCCTCTCACCTTGGCCTCCCAAAGTGCTGGGATTATAGACGTGAGCCACTGCACTTGGCCAAGAAATTCTTTTAATCCCTGTGTACATGATGAGGGCAAGTTTCTTCCTTCTGTCTTGGTGATCTGGACAAAGAAAGAGCACTCTGACAAGGTGAAGAATCACAGTGTGATGATGTTGAGCTGGTGGGGTGGGAGGGGGAATTGAAAGGGATCAGTAGATTGGGGAAAACTTGATGAGGTAGGGTAGTAGAATGGTGTAATGAGAGAGAAAAAAAATACGGGGGAGGGAAGAGGCAGGGTATGGAGCTGTGGTTGTCAGAAACAAATTGTGTTTAGTAACACAAGGATCACTGGGCACAGGCTGTGGAATGTGCCTGTCATCCTAGCTACTCAGGAGGCTGAGGCAGGAGGATTGCATGAAGCTAGGAGTTTGAGACCTTGAGCATACAGGAAGACCGCGTTTCTAAAAAAATTTTAAAAATAGCGCATTTATTATTGTGTCAGCATTTACATATTCATATAACCAAATAAAAGTATAATAATCATAACTATAGAAGTATGAAATTGTATAAAAACTGTTCGTCAAACAGTTTTTATGAATTTTTATACAACCAAGAACCCAGTGAGGTAGTTACTGGTGTCATCCTTGTTTTCAAAGCAATGAAGTGAGCCTGGTAGAGGTTGTAATGGCTCCTTCCTGGTCAGAGCCAGAGCTAGGATAAACCAGGTATGTCTTGGATCAAAGCCCAGCTCTTAACCACTCTGCCACATTGGCTTTCTTATCTAGATTTTGAGGCATAAAAATTATAATTAGGGTTAGAAATTATAACCCCCCCACCCCTGATAGTTAGGCTTTAGGTAAGAATTAGGCTTTGTTTGGCCGTCTACAGTGATTCATGCCTGTAATTCTGACTACTCAGGATGCTGAGGTAGGAGGATCCCTTGAGGCCAGAAGTTTGAGACTAGTCTAGGTAACATAAGAAGACCCCATCTCTACAAATAAATAAATAAATAAATAAAATTACCTGAGTGTGGTGACCTACACCTGTAGTCCCAGCTACTTGAGTGGCTGAGGTGGGAGGATCACCTGAGCCAGGAGGTCAAGGCTGCGGTGAGCTGTGATTGTGCCGCTGCACAGGCTGAGGTGAAAGGATTGCCTAAGCCCAGCAGGTCGAGGTGCGGTGGACATGAGCATGCCACTGCACTCCAGCCTGGGCGACAAGAGTGATACTACAACTCAAAATAAATAAATAAATAAAATAAAAAAAGAGTTAGGTTTTGCATGTGGCTTAAGTTAATGTGTGGATTTTGTTTTGTGACTAGGTTACTGTTGGTGTTTGCTTTCAGAATAAGTTGACAGCTCCCAAGTATCACTTAAGTCACTGTCAGGCTTCTGCCCTACCCACAGGTGTCTCGTGCTCATCCCCTAATGACCAGCTCCTGTTCTACATGCCTACATTTCTTCTAGGAAACACCTCTTGGAATGTGCTAGCTAGTGACTGGATCTGTGATTCCCAGCAGTGGATGCATGCTGGATTCACCACAGTTTTTAATATGTCTTGATACCTGGGCCTCACCTCAGATGAACTGAAAAGGAATCTCTGGGAGTGGAGTCCTGGAGTCAGCATTTTCAAAGCTTCCCAGGAAATCTAATATTAGCCAGGATTCTCAGCCATTAAATTAGATGTGAAACAGACTGGTGATTCTCACTTTTGGAGACCGGAAGTCTAGACTTGAAAGTGCGAGCTGTGGATAGGATGGATTGCAGGCATTTGGTGTCAGGGAAGGAGAATCCTTCTTAGCCCATGGCCATCCAGGGACCTTGGAGGGCTTGGAAGTGCCAAAGACAAATGAAGGTGCAAGAGATATTGCCTGCCTCACGTGTTCGCTGATAGATTTCCTGACCTGGGAAAGATTCTGAGACTGGACACAGTTGTTGTTGTTTTTCAAATCTTCAAAATAGCTTTTATTCTATATTTTTAGTATTAAAAAATCCACACATTATGTGTGCCACAGTGTAGAGAGAGACATACAGTGCTGAACTTCCATAATAATTCATGATATAATCAAATCTCACCTGTACAGAACACACAATTTGGATGAACTGAAGCTGTAAGTTAAAATAGAATAAGATCCGATTTCAGAAAACAGAAATCAAAAAGGATCCCTGAAGTATTCTCGGCCCTAATGAGATTTCACTGGACTCAACATTCTTTTGTAGTGAGGCATTCACAATATGACCCTATTGACACAGTCTAGGAATTCTTGGGAGCCATGAGTGTCTGCATCAGACACTCTGATTAAAAAACACAGCAAAAAAACAGTAACCAATTTTGGATCTAAAAATTCTCCTTAATTCTTCGCTAAAGACATCAATCAGGCTTTTTGAAATGCATCCTTCTCCTAGCCACTCATATATATACTTTTTGAGTTGGGACCTCACTCTGTTGCTCAGGCTGGAGTGTAGTGGTGCAAACATAGCTCCCTGCAGCTTCAAATTCCTGGGCTGAAGTGATCCCCCAGCCTCAGTCTCTGGAGTAGCTGGGACAACAGGCACACATGACCATACCCAACTAATTTTTAGATTTTTTTGTGGAGATGAGATCTTGCTATGTTGCCCAGGTTGGTCTCGAATTCCTGATTTCAAGCAATCCTTCTACCTCAGCCTCCCAAAGTACAGGAATTACAGGCAGCCTGGGAGCCCCCCTCATATTTTACACAGACATTGTGGGGACACAATACTTGGCAGGTGGATGACCGCCTCTGTTTTGCAATTTGGAGTGCAGAAACACTCCCAACTGGACTTTTGTCTACACACCTTTTGAGACACGTTTTGATATGGGAGATGACTGGGGCATCTTGACCAATAATGCCAAGTATTAGGCTGGATCTCAGTTACATCCTCTGAGTTAGCAGTTCTGGTTTTTGAAACTTTTTTTTTTATGTTCAGGTAATGCGCACGTTTCTAATTCGACTGTGATATGCCAGGAAGAGAGCACTGGAGAGGAGCAGATGGGCTTGCGGGGGTATCTTTCTGGAATCTTCATTTGTAAAAAGAAGAAAGGTAAGCAGTCAGGTGGGGCTCCCAGTTGGGGATCAAATTGTGGGAGGCATGAGAGGCTGAGCACTGGGGGCTTGGTCATCTTGTACACTCCTGCTCCTGTGGACACAGAGGTCTGTCCCAGAGGAAGCTTCCTTTGCTTCCCTGCAGTGCCAGACCAGGGGGTGGGGGTGGGTGACTTGAGTTTTAGAAGGTGTGGACTGCAGGTCACTTAGAGTTGGTGGGACTGAAAAGGATTTTCGGCTCGTTCCGCTCAGCTGTGTGTATAAACAGTTCGACATCAGAGTTTCTGGAACCTTCCAAACCCAAGTGGTGGGTCATGGGCCTATTTATAGCTCATCTCAGTTGGATGTTTGTGGGCTTTTCCTGAAATCTGACCCTTTATTTCTGCCCTAGATTACTGCAAGAAGTACAGAAACTACGTGAAAAGCAGATTCCAGAGTATCAAAGACAGGAACGCCCGCCTGGGAGAGAGCGTGAGCCTCAACAAACGCTACACACGGCTGTGGCTGGTGAAGGAACACCCAAGCCAGCAGGAGAGGGAGCATGAGCTCTTGGCCATCGGCAGGACCAAGACAGGGGACTGGCCCATGAGCCCCATCAAGACGGAGCTGCTTTTTGAGCCGGATGAGGAAAGCAATGAGCCTGTACACACGCTGGTGTTCCAGGGTGCAGCGGGCATCGGGAAGACAATCCTGGCCAGGAAGATCATGCTGGACTGGGCATCGGGGACCCTCTATAAGCACAGGTTCGACTACCTATTCTACATCCATTGTCGCGAGGTGAGTCTTGCCACGCAGAGGAGTCTGGGTGACCTGATTGCCAGTTGCTGTCCCGACCCAAACCCACCCGTGGACAAGATTGTGAGCAACCCCTCCCGGATCCTCTTTCTCATGGATGGCTTTGATGAGCTGCAGGGTGCTTTCGATGAGCACCTTGGGGCGCTGTGCACAGACTGGCGGAAGGCCGAGCGGGGCGATGTGCTCCTCAGCAGCCTCATCAGGAAGAAGCTGCTCCCTGAGGCCTCCCTGCTCATCACCACGAGGCCCGTGGCCCTGGAAAAACTGCAGCACCTGCTGGATCACCCTCGGCACGTGGAGATCCTGGGCTTCTCGGAGGCCAAGAGGAAGGAATACTTCTTCAAGTACTTCTCGAACGAGTCGCAGGCCAGGGATGCCTTCCGGCTGATCCAGGAGAATGAGGTCCTCTTCACCATGTGCTTCATCCCCCTGGTCTGCTGGATTGTGTGCACCGGCCTGAAGCAGCAGATGGAGAGTGGCAAGAGCCTGGCGCAGACCTCCAAGACCACCACAGCCGTGTACACCTTCTTTCTGTCCAGTCTGCTGCAGTCTCGCAGAGGAAACCAGAAACACCACCTTGCAGCCCACCTCCGGGGGCTCTGCTCGCTGGCCGCTGACGGCATCTGGAACCAGAAGATCCTCTTCGAGGAGGCGGACCTCAGGCGCCATGGGCTGCGGAAGGAGGACGTGTCTGCCTTCCTGAGGATGAACCTGTTCCAGAAGGAAGTGGACTGTGAGAAGTTGTACAGCTTCATCCACATGACCTTCCAGGAGTTCTTTGCCGCCATGTACTACCTGCTGGAGGAGGAGGAGGACGAGGCAGGGAGGAGGCCCACACTGGGGAGGTGTTTGGAGCTTTCCAACAGGGATGTGACGGTCCTTCTTGAAAACTATGGCAAATTCGAGAAGGGCTATCTGATTTTTGTCGTCCGCTTCCTCTTTGGCCTCGTCAACCAGGAAAGGACCTCCTACCTGGAGAAGAAACTGAGTTGCAAGATCTCTCAACAAGTCAGGCTGGAGCTGCTGAAATGGATCGAAGCCAAGGCCAAGGCCAAGAAGCTGCAGATCCAGCCCAGCCAGCTGGAACTGTTCTACTGCCTGTATGAGATGCAGGAGGAGGACTTTGTGCGGAGGGCCATGGACCACTTCCCCAAGATAGAGGTCAACCTCTCTACCAGGATGGACCACGTGGTGTCTTCTTTTTGCATTAAGAACTGCCATTGTGTGGAGTCACTCTCCCTGGGGCTTCTCCATAACACGCCCAAGGAGGAGGAGGAAGAAGAGGAGGAAGACCAACACCTCAACTCTGTCCAGTGTGTCCTCCTGGGTCCCCACGCTTCCTGTTCTAACCAGTAAGGAAATTTGGCTTCCGGCAGGTGGTGGAACATGCCCTCTGTTTTTGGGAAACCTTTTTCTTGACACTCACTTCCTTGCCTTTATTTTATATTTTATTATTTCATTTCATTATTTTATCATTTTATTTGAATCAGAGTCTCACCCTTTTCCAGGTTGGAGTGCAGTGGCACAAATCATGGCTTACTGTAGACTTGACCTTCTGGGCTCAGGTGATCATCTCGCCTCAGCCTCCCTAGTTGGAAATACAGGTTTGTGCCACCACACCTGGCTAATTTAAAAATTTTTTTTAGAGTTGAGGTCTAGCTATGTTGCTCAGGCTGGTCTCAAACTCTTGGACTTAAGCAATCCTCCTGCCTTGGTCTCCCAAAGTGCTGGGATTATAGGTTTGTCTCACTGCGTCTGGTTGCACTCCTCTCCTTTCAACTGCCTTCAAAATACAACAGTCACAGCTAAGTTGCCCTGCCACCACTCCCTGCTCTTGCTCGGCACCTTTACTGGCAGAGCTGGACTGGTGGTAGGTGGATAAATGGGACAAGATAGTATGACAATAAACAGATATTTGGAGAATGCAAGCTCAGAACAAGGGGTTCGGTGGAGCATAGGACTGTGAATTTAATTTCCTCAAAATCTACACTCGGAGTACAGTGCATAAGTCAGGTGATGCCTAAGGGGCAGATCAACCCCAGAGACTTTGTGTCTTGACACAGAGAATAGAGGGCTCTTGAACTGTGGGAAGGTGTGGGGGTGGGGAAAGGAGATTTCTCAGAAAAGTGAAGTTGGAGCCTGCTGGGAAGGAATGGCAAGACCTGATGCATAGAGAAGGGGAAGGGAACAGTATTCTGGCATGGAGAGCTGATGGGAACAGGTGTGTGTGGTGACAGCGCACTGAGGGATGCAGCATCCTCAGAACAAGCAGAAGGGTAAACCGAGGGAAACAGGACTGTTTTGCACCAGGCTGTCACCAAGAACAGCGCCTTCAGGGTCTGTTCACTGACTCGCTGTGGGTCGGAAGCCAGTTGTGGGGTGTGTATTGGGAGTGGCCGGTGGTCAGAAGTTGGTTGCAGAGTCCTTAGATGGGGAGTGGTTGGTGGTCTGGAGACCACTGATCACTTGGGGGCTGGAAGCCGGCTGCCAAGTCTGCATAGAGGAGTGGTCGGGGGTCAGAATCTGATTGCCAGGTTTGTACAGGAGCATAGTAGAATCACCTGATTTCTGTGGTCCCTCCTGCATTCACTGTTAAGTGACCTACCCAGTAGCTGCAGGAGGGTACCACTCTGTGAATGTGTGGATTTAACCTCTGCAGGAGACACTTCACTCAGCGCGACCTTAGGAGAGCAGGATGTGGGGCCGTTCTGGCTTAGTGGGTATCAGCTCTCTGTGTCCTGATGGAATCACCAGGGCGATCTTCCAGGTCATCACTTGGCCAGGGAGGGCTGACCACCTACTGGGACAGCAGGGGTGGCCCTGGTGATGCTTACAGGGACTGGAGATCTGTTGTGGGGATGGTCAGGAAACACTTGCAGATGGAGGGTCATGCGCTAGGACTAGGAACTGGCAGAGTACCCAAAGGTGTGTGTGTGTGGGGCTTGGCTCTGGACGATGGAGTGGGAGAGTGAGAGGACTGGGTAGCCCAGGTGGACAGTGGGCTCCGAGGGCAGGTGTGGGGAAGCAGGGTATACTTGGGCAATGGCAAGTAGCTTGGAATGGCTAGAAAGAAGGCCGGTGTCGATCCATGAGGCTACTTTAGCAAATGTAGACCGGGTGGCTCATAAAGAACAGATGTTGATTTCTGACAGCTGTGGGGCTAAAAGTCCATGATCAAGGTGCTAGAAGATTTTCACAAGGTGGAAGGGGCAAGGCAGCTCTCTGGAGTTTTAGTAAGGTCAGTTTTCCATGCATGAGGATTCCATCCCTATAATCAAATCATGTCCCAGAACTCCCACCTGCAAATACCATCAGGATTCAATATATATGTATTTGAGGGAGACACAAACATTCAAGCCACAGCAGGGGGAGGGAGAGAGAGGAAGAAAGAGGGAGGGATGGAGGAAGGGAGAGAGGGAGGGACAGAGAGAGGGAGAGGGAGAGAGGAGAGAGGGAGAGAGGGAGAGGAGAGGGTAGAAAACAAGAGAGAAAAAGGTGAGAGAAAGGGAGAAAGAGAGAGAGAGAGAGAGAGAGAGAAGAGAGAAAGGGAGAAAGAGAGAGGAAGAAAGAGAGGATGAGAAGGCAAGAGAAATAAAAAGAGGAGAGAGAGAGAAACTGAGGGGGATAGAGAGAGAGGAGAGAGACAAGAGTTAAAGTAATAGAGAAGAGAGAGAGAGAGAGAGAGAGAACTAAAGCAAGGGGAAGAGAGAAAGAGAGGAGAGAAGGAGAGAAGAAAGAGAGAGGAGATATAAATGGGGGGGAGAGAAAGAGAGGGAGAGAAGAGAGAGAGGAGAGATAGAGAGGAGAAGAAAGAAAGAGGAGAGGGAGAGATGGGGGAAGAAAGAAACAAAGAGAGGAGAAAGAGAGGGGAGAAAGAGGAGAGAGAGAAATAGGAGAAGAAAGAAAGAGCAAGGAGAGAGAGAGAGTGAAGAAAGAGAGAGAAAGGGAAAGAGAGAAGGGGTGGGGGAGAAAAGAGAAAGGGAGAGAGAGGGAGAGAGAGGGAGACAAGGAGACAGACCTGCCATTAGGGCCCCAAGCACAAGGTACAGGGGACAGGACAGGAGACCTGACCAAGGTCACACAGCTGTGAGGAAGGCTTGTGGAAATTCTGTCTCAAGCTCCAGATGAGAAGCATGACTTCTGTCTCTCTTGATGACAGCCATCTTCCTCAGACTGCTGGAGCGGGCTTTGTATTTTCCAGAATCTTTTGAGAACATCAGGGGTGTCTGCAGGCTCCTGAAAGAAGTGCAGACCTAGCCCCGGACCCAGGGAATCAGATTCTGCATCTGAGCAAGAGCCACAGGTGATTCAAATGTGACTGTACGTCAGAGTCACCTGGAAGTTTTAAAAGTAATCACATAATCAGGCACTCTAGCGCATGCCTGTAGTCCTAGCTACTCATGAGGTTGAGGTGGGAGGATCACCTGAGCCCAGGAGTTCAAGACCAGTCTTGGCAACAAAGCAAGACCCTTCTTCTAAAAACATTTAAAAAAATTTCGCCAGATGTGGTGGCACACACTTGTCATCCTAGCTACTCAGGAGGCTGAGGTGGGAGGATTGCTTTAATCCAGGAGTCTGAGGCTGAGCTCCAGTGAGTTATGATCACACCACTGCACTTTCTCCACAAATGTGGCCTGGCCTTGGGATTTTGGGGATCACCCCTGAGGTTGCTGGGCAGCCAGGTGAGGATTACTCTCTGGAAGGTCCAGGGCCGAGGGCAGGACAGGGGTCATGAGGGAGGGCAGAGAAGGACACTGGGAGTAGGAGATGGACTTACTTTTTCTGTTGTGAAGTACATGGGGCCACCCAGACCCATGCTCACCTGGCCCCTGTGCTCCTCCAGGAATGAGTTTTGTGACCCAATTCCTATCCCTGGGAGGCCTTTCTCTGACCTGGGCCCTGAGCTTCATCTTGTTACGTTGATGTCCTTTTCTCTCCACCCAATTTCCAGGCTGGCGAACCACTATCTCACTTCCAGCTTTTGCCGAGGTCTCTTCTCCGTTCTGAGCACCAACCAGAGCCTGACGGAACTCGACCTCAGTGACAACACCCTAGGGGACCCTGGGATGAGGGTATTGTGTGAAACGCTCCAGCATCCGGACTGCAATATTCAGAGACTGTGGTGAGGGCCTGCGTGTGTGCACCCAGTGTGTGTGCATGTGCGTACACATGTGGGTGCATCAGCGTGTGTATATGTGTGCATGTTTTGTTCATGCATGTGCATGTATGTGTGCATGTATGCATGTGCAGGTGTGCTTGTATATCAGTGTGTGCCTGTGTTACATTTGTGTTGTGTTTCAGTGTATGTACGTGTATACATCAGTGCATGTGCACCTGTGTGTGCATGTGTGCATCATGTATGTGTCCATGTGCATCTGTGTGTGTGCATACACACTTGTGTACATGTATGTAAGAGGGAGGAAGACAGAGACAGACACTGGAGAAATATATATTTTTTTAAAGGTAAACTTTATTTTTTATTTTATTTTATTTTTTTTGAGTTGGAGTCTCACTCTGTCACCCAGACGAGTGCACTGGCTGCTCCCGGCCACCGCAGCCTCGACCTGCTGGGCTCCGGTGATCCTTCTACCTCAGCCTTCCAAGTAGCTGGAACTACAGGTGCGCGCTACCACACCCAGCTAATTTTTTGATTTTATTGTAGGGATGAGATCTCGCCAAATTGTTCAGGCGGGTCTCGAACTCATGGGCTCAGGCAATCCACTCACCTCAGCCTCCCAAAGCGTGGGATTACAGGCTGAGCCACCAAGCACGGCCTGGAGAAAGATCTTAAGGGCAGTCGGTGGTGCATTGGTTTCCCAGGGCTGCTGTGACAAAGCACTACAGACTGAGTGACTTAAGCAACAGAATTTTATTTCTCAGTTCTGAGATGTCAGCAAGACTGATTTCTTCTGTGGCCTCCCCTGGCTCATTGGGGTCACCTTCACGTGGTCTTCTCCCTGAGTGTATCTGTGTCCTCATCTCTTCCTGTGAGAACACCAACTGCAATGGAGTAGGGCCCACATTAATAACCTGTTTTACCTTAATTACCGCCTTAAAGGTCCCATTTCCAAGAACAGTTGCTTTAGGAGGTCCTGGAGTTAGGGTTTCCACATATAAATTTTGAGGGGGCACAATTCAGTCTAGAACAAATGAGGGAAGCAGGATGGGCTAGAGGCCAGTTGTTTGGGAAGTTTTTGATGGAGAAGGGTGAAGGGAAGACTGAAAAGGAAGTCAACAGACAGCCTTCGGTGTCTTCCATTTCCTCTTGGGTCATGCTTGCAGATGAGGGCGGAAGACTTCGACACTAGAACCTAAAACACTTGGTACTGGTTGCAGTGTCACAGAGACTGTCCTATAGTGTCATTAATAACGTACCTGCTCTCAGTTGTACTTGAATCAGCTCCCACATCCCATGTTGGGCACACAGGTGTGGGTCCTCCCCAGCTCTTGCTTGAGGATGTGTGTGGGCATCTGGGATTCTGAGGAACCACCCAGCTAATGTTAAAGCCCCACCCTAGGACATTCTCATTCCTCCTTCTCTTGCTTGTTATGTCCGCCTGTCCCTGAGCTTGTCCATTCTGCCCACAGCACCAGTCATTGTCCACATCCTCACCCTACCAGCCCTGGCCCAGTCACCACCACCACTTGCCTGGACTCTTTGATGACCTCCTGGACCATCTGAGTCATGAGGATAGGTTCCTATGTGCTTGCCTTGCCATCATCTTTGCAACATATGGGCAGACACATTGGTACACATTAGTGCTCAGACATACGTACTGAATGATGTTGGCTGGTTGATCTCCCTGCATCTGCTTTTGCCTCTACCAAGCCATTCTCCACATAAAAGTCAGAGGATCATTTAGAAAATACTAATTTTATTGTGCCATCCCCTTGCCTAAATGCCTTCTCTTTGTATTTTCTTTTCTTTTCCTTTTTTGAGTTGGAGTCTCACTCTGTTGCCCAGGCTGGAGTGCAGCGGCATGCTCACAGCTACCGCAGCCTCAACCTGCTGGGTTCAGGCGATCCTTCCACTTCAGCCTTCCATGAAGCTGGAACTACAGATGCACACCACGATGCCCAGCTAGTTTTTGTGATTTATTGTAGAGATGAGGTCTCATCAAGTTGCCCAGGCTGGTCTCGAACCCCTGAGCTTAGGCAATATCTTGCCTTGGCCTCCCAAAGTGCTGGGATTACAGGCTTGAACCATCGCACCCAACCTTCTCTTTGCACTTTATATAAAAAAATTTTATTTAAAAGGATGGCATCTCACTATGTCATCCAGGCTGGAGTGTAGTGGCAAGATTGTGGCTCCCTGCAGCCTCGAAATCCTGGGCTCAAGGGATCCCCCTGAGTCACTAGGACTACAGGCGTGTGCTAATACAAGGAATTTTCTAACAAATATTTTTGTAGAGACAAGATCTTCCTATGTTGTCCAGGCTGGTCTCAAGCTCCTGGCTTCAAGTGATCCTCCTGCCTCAGCCTCCCAAAGCGCCGGGATTATAGGCATGGGCCACTGCACCTGGCCTCTCTTTGCTCTTTTGCTGAATTACAAATCCTCCTCTTGCCATCAAGGCCCTGGCTGTCTGTGGGCACTTCACCTTGCTTCTCCTGCTACATCCCACCATGCCCTTCCCATTGCCCCCTGCGGGATCCCCTTTGTTATTCCAGAAAGTGAAATATAAGTGGGAAGCATGATGATAAGGAGGTATTTGCAGAAAAGTAGAGAACTTGCTGTCCATTTGTCTGTAGTTGGTATGAAGATGGGAAGAAAGGAAGATGGTCCAGTCGGCTTTAGGACCCATGAATTGGGAAGGAGCTGGAATGTTGCTCTTGCCCCATGACAGGGACACATTGTTTTTGCTGGTTGCGGTGGTGATGGTGATGGTGGTAGTGATGTGTATGTATGTATGTGCATGTGCAATTGTAAAACAATCCGGGAGTCAGAGTTGCTTGCTCCTCAGTGTGGATGGAGGGCTAGGATTCCATCTTCAAATAGGAAGTAGGTAAAGTTGGCAAAGACAAGAGGTGGGTGAGTGCAATCCTAGCACTGGTGGTACCCATGTGAGGGGCACCAGCTTGGGGACACATGGTGTAGAAGGGGAACCACAAGCTCAACACCTTTCCACTTGCAAGACAGGCTCACAATTCATGCATTTGAGGGTGGTCACAATGTCATGGCACTATTTTAAAAAATATTTTGAGTCAGTGTCTCACTCTGTCACCTAGGCTGGAGTACAGTGGCATGATCTGGCTCATCACAGCTTCAATTTCCTGGGCTTGAGTAAGCCTCCCACCTCAGCTTCCTGAGTAGCTCGGACTAGAGGTGCATGCCACAATGCTCGACTCATTGAAAAAAAAAACATATATATATATATTTTTAGAGACAAGGTCATGCTATGTTGCCTAGACTGGTCTCGAACTCCCAGGCTCAAGCAATCCTCCTGCCTCAACCTCCCAAATTGCTGGAATTACAGATGTGAGCCACCACACCCAGCAACCTGGCACTATTTACAGAAACAGGAAGTCAAATACAGCGTGTTCTCACTTTTGGAGAAAGCTAAATAACGGTACACATGGACAAAGGGTATGGAGTAACAGGCACGGGAGATGCAGAAGGATGGAAAGGTGGGAGGGATGAGGGATGAGAGGTGACCTACTGGGTAAGATGTGACCATTCAGGAGTTCATTGACTGTACTTTGTGCTGCTGTGGGGCCTGGGAGCCACTCCCCAGTGGGTCCTGGGTTGTCTTCGGGAGCTCTCTGATTGGATGATACGTCCATGAAACCTTGTTGACATTTTCCCTTTGCAACACAAGAGCACACGTGCCTGTCCCTGGCACAGAAACCCCACATGGGTCAAGAGGCAACGGTGGAGAGGCAGGCTGTGTTCTGACATTGACTCTATCCTTTGCACTTGTGCCAAGGCTGGGCCGCTGTGGCCTTTCCCATCAGTGCTGCTTCGACATCTCCCTGGTCCTGAGCAACAACCAGAAGCTGGTGGAATTGGACCTGAGTGACAACGCCCTGGGGGACTTTGGGATCCGGCTCCTGTCTGTGGGGCTGAAGCATCTCTTCTGCAACCTGAAAAAGCTCTGGTGAGTCCAATGTGCTTCCTGTGAGGATCTGCTCATGGGCATGCATAGGAGCTCTGGCTCCAAGGAGGCACCAGGGGTTGGGGTTTTCGTGTGAAGACAGAAAACTTTCTGGGCTTATGTCTGGGTGTCTGTTGGTAATTCCTTCAGTTTGCTATGGGGGAAAGCCATACTAAGTCCTGACAAGGAGCATAGATAATAAAAAAAAAAAAGGGACATCCACCTTTAAGGCACTTTAGCCTGACTGAGGGAAAAATAAACCTGGTGTAATGCACTGCTTTAGAAGAGCTTGGAACTTCCTGACCAGCCCTCACTGAATAGGAAACATAGTACTAAAACAGTGCAGACACTTGGTGTGCACAGCCTCCACAGAAGACTTCTCGGAGATGTGAGTTTTGAAGAACAGAGGAAAGTGCTTAAAAATGATAGGGAGTCACCAGGTGTGGTAGCTCACACCTATAATCCCAACACTTTGGGAGGCCTAGGTGCGAGGGGAGAGGATTGTTTGAGCCCAGGAATTCAAGACCAGCTTGGGTAACAGTGAGACCTAGTCTCTCCAAAAATAAAAAAAAATTACCCAGATGTGGTGGTGTATGCCTGTAGTCCTAGATACTCAAGTCAAGGTGGAAGGATTACCTGAGCCCAGCAGGTTGGGGCTGCAGTGAGCTCTTGTGCCACTGCACTCTAGCCTGGGTGACAGAGTGAGACCTCGACTTAAAAAAAAAATGGTAGGGTGAATTCACATTCGTTAGGATGGTTATTATAAAACAAAAACAAATAAATAAGAAAACTAGAAAACAACAAGTGTTGACAAGGATGTGGAGAAATTGAAACCCTGGTGCGTTGTTTGTGGGAATGTAAAATGGTATAGCCACTATAGGAAACAGTATGGTGATTCCTCAGAAGATTAAACATAGAATTACTGTTGGAGCTAGCCATTCCACTTCTGGGTATATTTGCAAGAGAATCAAACACGTATTATTATACCAACGTCCATAGCAGCATTATTAACAATAGCTAAACAGTAGATGTAACCCAAATATCCACTGATGGAAGAATGGATTAAAAAGTGCTGTTACATACATACATCTTTTTTTTTTTTTTGATTGGGAGTCTCACTCTGTCGTTCAGACTGGAGTACAGTGGCATGCTTCTGACCACCACAACCTTGGCCTGCTGGGCTCCGGCGATCCTTCTGCCTCAGCCTTCCAAGTAGCCGGAACTACAGGTGCACGCTACAATGCCAGGCTAATTTTTGATTTAATGTAGAGACAAGGTCTCACCAAGTTGCCCAGGTGGGTCTCAAACCTGCAAGCTCAGGCATTCCACTCGCCTCAGCCTCCCAAAGTGCTGGAATTACAGTCTGAGCCACTGAGCCTCACCACATACATGTATCTTTAAAAGGAATACATGCTACAATATGGATGAACCTTGAGCACATTATCCTGAGTGAGATAAGCGAGACACTAAAGGGCAGACCCTGTATGATCTCACTTACATAAGGCACATAGGATAGTCAGATTCATACAGACAGAAAGTAGAGTGGTGGTTGCCCAGGCTGGAGGAGGGGAAATGGGAGTTGTTTAATAGATACAGAGTTTGTTTTGCAAGATGGAAAGATTTCTGGAGATGGAAGGTAGCATCGGTTGTATAACAATGTCAATACACTTAAGGCTGTTGAGTTTTTCACTTAAAGATGGTTAAACTGATAAACTTTATCTTACACATATTTTTACCACAATACAAATAAATACAGGGAGCTGGGAAGACGTCTTGCTGGGATGAGCATGGGAGGTGGTTACTTGTCATTCTATCAAATAGAAAAGGAAATCTAAAATTGACATAAGCCAGATGTAGTGGCTCACACCTATAATCCCAGCATGTTGGGAGGCTGAGATGAGAGGATTGCCTGAGCCTACGGGTTCAAGGTCAGCCTGGACAACTTGGCAAGACCTCATCTCTAATAAGTAAAAAAATAAAATAAAAATTAGCTGGGCGTGTTGGCGTGTGCCTGCAGTTCCAGGTACTTGCGAGGCTGTGGTGGAAGGATTGCCTGAGCCCAGCAGGTTGAGGCTGCGGTGGTCTTGAGCGTGCTATTGCACTCCAGCCTGGGCGACAGTGAGACTCTGACTCAAAAATTAAATAAATAAATAAAATCGACATAGTGCTTGGATCCACACCCTTCCCATGTGTAGACTGGAACAGAGGCAGTGGCAGGTACAGGTGCCCCCCCCCCAGTTCACAGAGCATGGTGAGAGACATGACTGTGATGTTCTGCCCTCTCTACGGAAGGTTGGTCAGCTGCTGTCTCACATCCGCGTGTTGTAAGGATCTTGCGTCGGTCCTGATCACCAACCAATCCCTGACCAGACTCTATGTGGGGGAAAACACCTTGGGAGATGCTGGAGTTGGAATCTTATGTGAAGAAGCCAAGAATCCACAGTGTAACCTGCAGAAGTTGGGGTGAGTCTTGGTGGGTGTCTCCACGGAAAAACAGCTTCTCTTCAGAGTTGAATAATTTGGAAAACATGGATGGGGGTTATTCTGAAAAAGTCTAATCAGATGGTGTTGAAGGTGGAGAATGGAGCTAACAATATCAGAAGTGGTTTGAAGCACTGGCTACCTGTCATATATGCTACTGCTGATAAGGTAATTTATACTAATTTATGATTATAGAATTGGGGTTTCTTAGAGTTGGGAGAAAGCTTAGAGACTGTGCAACCCAATTCCCTACTGATTGAAAAACTTGTTTCTAGGACACTTGCATGGATGATCACCTGTTTTGTGTGTGAACACTTCCAAACACACACGTTATTGCACACACAGTGTGGCATCTTCACTAGGGGAGAACTCTTGTACTGCTACAGTTCCTTCTCTGATTTCTGTGCATTAGTCCTTGTCCTGGGAGTTGTTTATTTAATTTTTTACCTGATTCATAATTTTTATTCAAATTTCACAAATTGTTCCAATAATATCCTAATAGCTTTCTTTTGGTATACATGTAGAGGGCACATGTGCGGTTTTGTTGCATGGATGTCTTGCCTACTGGTGAAATCCGGGCTTTTAGTGTAACTATCACCTGAACAGTGTAGATTGTATCCAGTGAGTAATTTCTCATCCCTCACTCCCCTGCCCCACCTCGCCCCATCCTTCTGGGTCTCCAGAGTTTATTATTCCACTATGTTCATGTATACATTATTTAGCTCCCACTTATGAGTGAGACTTTCTGTTTCAGAGCTGTTTCACTTGAGTTAATGGGGTTTTGAGAAGATAATGGGGCTTTGAGGAGCCACTCTAATTCCATCCTCAAAATACCCCTCATACCCTAGGTCTTTTTGTCTTATGTAGTGCTTCTAAATCCTCAGTTATGACAACGTTCCCACCCTCAACCACTCAGACATGCTCTGCCAGGGAAGGGAGGGAGTTTGTTGGTGTTTTCTTTGAAATGCAATGTCCTCACAAGAAGGGACATAGTGGAACACTGCCTCTGTGGGAAGATACTATGCCTCACTTGAAGGCACATGGCAGAACCCTTCCTCCTATGGCAGGGTGCTATACCTGTCCTGAAGGCCTATGGTGGAGTATTCCTCCTGTAGAAGGGCGCTATGCCTCACTTGAGGGCATGTGATAGGGCCCCTCCTCTTGTGGCAGGGGCTGCGCCTCACCTGAAGATGCATTTTGGGGCCCTTCCTGTTGCAGCAGGGTGCTATGTCTGACCTGAAGGCACATGGTGGAGCCCTTCCTTCTGTGGCAGGGCACTATGTGTTCACTGGGGGAGCCTGTGGTTTCCTTATGCTTTTGACAGTCACATACGATTTTTGGTTCATGTTGGAATTGTGCAGGAAATAATGATATGGAATACCTACTAATGACAATGCGTTTACCCTGTCTCATGCTCTTCCCTGTTATTTACATGGGTATCTCTGTTGGCCTCATAAAGACAATCCAAACTATGCATCCATGTCTCCAATTTAAAGAGGAAAGAATAAGGTTCAGTGCACCTCATACCTTTGCTCCAGTATGCTGAGATAGAAGATGGTGAAACCCGGGCAATCCTCTTTCAGGTTCTCTCCCACTTGGGAGCTTTTCTTTCTTCTTAATAAACTTCTACTTTCTCACCCAAGAAAAAAAAAAGAAGATGGTGAAACTCCATGCAGACATGCCTGTGGGCCCCACCTGTGGCTGCCTGGAATGCCCAATGCACTGCCTTAGGATGTGTGGCTAGTGTCCCTGCAGGACTTCTCCTTCTGACTCTCAACCTACACACAGGGTCTCGCATTTAGTGCTGCCAGACTGTAGCTTACATTTCTTTTGACCCATTGTCTAGGCATTTAAAAAAAAAATATTTTTTAAGTTTATGTCTTGCTCTGTTGCCCAGGCTAGAGTGCAGTGGCACGATCATGGCTCACCACTGCATGAACCTCCTAGGCTCAGATGATCCTCCCGCCTCAACCTCCCGAGTAGCTGGGATTACAGGTGCTCACCACCATGCCAGGCTAATTTTTTGAATTTTTCGTAAAGACGGTTTCTCACTATGTTGCCCAGGCTGGTCTTGAAATCCTGCGCTCAAGCAATTCTCCTACCTCAGCCTCCCAAAGTGCCAGGATTACAAGTGTGAGCTGCACCTGGCCCTGTCTAGGCATTTTTGAACCTTGGTTCTGCCAATATTATCTACACATCCAACAAGCAAACTAAATGCCTCCATTCACATTACTGATAGAGATACCGGCCAGATGAGCACTAAAGACAAAATACAGCAGGAAGGGTCTTTTCTGAGGAGTAACACATTGGTCCATAACTAATAACCAGGATATGTTCACAGAGCTCTGGTCCTTCCTTGGACTTGCTCATCAGCCTGTCCTTAGCTCTCACCATGGCTCCCTCTGAGAGTTATGTCTGCATGTGATATCTGTGCTTCCTCCCCTGGGTTATTCCTCTTCCACAGCAGTTTGTTCAACAGATGTGACTTGGCCTCTTTATTTTCCAGGCACTCTGGGGGATCTTTTGGGTGCTGATGGCAGCAGCAAGTAAAACAGACCAAGACCCTATTTTTGTTACCAGGAGGAGGAGTGCTCCTGCTGGCATGAGATGGTCGATGACAGGTTCTTGTGCTCACATTTGGAATGAACTTGCAAATGGACACGCAGAGGAGTGGGATAGACAAGTAGCTTTATTAAACAGAGAAGAGTGCATGCCCAAGAAAGGGGAGTGGGCAGAAGCAGCCTACAGAAAACTGCTGCTTCTGCCCCAACTATTGTTGAGCTATTACTTTTATTCTTTTTTGAGTTAGAGTCTCTGTTGCCCAGGCTGGAGTGCAGTGGCACACTCCTGGCCCCCACAGCCTTGACCTACTGGGTTCAGGTGATCCTTCCACCTCCAGCCTTCCAAGTAGCTGGAACTACAGGTGTGCGCTACATGCCCAGCTAGTTTTTCTGATTTATTGTAGAGATGAGGGTTCACCAAGTTGCCCAGGCTGATCTCGAACCCCTGGACTCAGGCAATCCTCTTACTTTGGCCCACCAAAGTGCTGGGATTATAGGCATAAGCCGCCACGCCCAGACTACTTTTATTCTTATGTGTGCTGAGGAGTAGGTTTAGGGTGGGCTTTTCCTAGAAATGAGTGGTCTTAGGGCTGTGTTTCTGTTACTTCTCCCTCTTATTGGGGGGAGGAGTTTTAGGCATTATGGGGTCACATCAGGACTGTGATAGTACCCTGATAAGTGGAGATTTTTGTAAAACCACAATGCAAATGATATTATAGTGAATGTATAGTGAGTGTATAATGGGTGAAAGTAGGTCATGGTTATCTTCGGTCAACCTTGGCTGTTGATGTGCAGCCTAGGGTTCTCTAGGCTGGTTCCTGCCTTGGTGGTTGGCTCTTGACTGCAAACATCCTGGATAGATGGACTACAGTGTTGCAGGTGTATCTGATAAGTCTAATGGTTAGGCAGTTGTGATGCTTTCTATAGCTAAGGCCCTTGCTTGTATGTGTGGTTTTGCAACACTGTTGCAGGCTTCAGTGATCTTGGAACTTTCCTATAGCCCTGTAGTTTTCCTAGCCTAACCTGCCTACTCTATCATTTCCACAAACTTTCTTAAAGGGAGAGAGTGAGAGGCAATAGACAAACAAAACAATGTGCACTATATGTATGATGTTAACTTAAAAACGTCAACGATTTATACTTTTAAAAAAGGAGATGAGACTTTATTTCTTGTAAGGGGTTGCAACCTGCAACGTGGTCATCCCGCGGGCTGGAAATCACAGCCTCCAGCAGAGACTAGAGACAGACAATTCGAAGAAGGAGGGTTGAGGTGGAAGTTTTATGCTGACCAGGTTGGTTAAACATGAATATTCAGCAGGTTATGGGAGGGGCTATGAATATTCATGAAGGAGGTCTTGACACATATGTATTGAACAAACGCTGCATGTTACATATGGCCTATTTACTTTGAGGTGGAGACTTAACATGTAAATGTATTACATTTAGACCTTAGATGGCAGAAACTCTCTTCAGGATGTGAAGGCACTCAGGTGTATAGCCTCTGTAAATTGGCCAGAACCAGTCCATGGTCAATAGTCTCTTATCAGGAAAAAGTCACTGAAATCAGTCTCTTTTCCAGTGAAAGCTGTAGTTATGGCTGGTGTAGCAGGGGGTCAGTTAGTAAGGTTTGGTGGAGCTGCAAATTGTTTCAATATTGCTTATCTCAAGGCCAGTGTTTGTTTAGTTGCTAGAGAAAAATAAACACCATGGCAGCTGGAACATAGTTTATTTCTCAAGTGTAGGGTGTGACTTAACCCTTGTCTGGCATGGCCTTCGGTTTATAATTTGGTATCTTATTGCCACAGAGTCTGTCCTGTCAGTCTTACGATCTGTCCTGTCAGTCTTACGATCTCTATTTTAGCATGAATATTGGTCAGTTGTTGTGTCTAAACCACAAAAGAGAGGGGGTTGATGAGGTCTGCCTGACTTCTCATCCCATCATGTCTGAGAACTCATTTTTTAAAGGTTTTTCTGTGTCCCCTGGGCCAAGAGAGGGTCTGTTCAATCAATAGGGGAGATTAGATTTTGTTTTTTAGTATAGTTGTAGCAAGAGAAACTGGAATGACAGAGACGGCCTGTCTGTCAAGTGGGTGACATTGGAGTGCGTCCTAAATGAATTGTGGGCATGGGTGTGAAGGAGCTGGGAGAGAGCTCAAGGATAAGCACATGAAGCCACGTAGGCCCGGGGTACAGGCACCCACTGACTCCCAGTGATTCTGATTCCAACTCTTCTAGATCCTTCCCAGTCCTTATCTTAGCTGATATCTGCTGCCTTTAATTCATTTCTCACTTCTTCTTTGAAAGTCGTCTTCTCTCTTGTTCCCAGGTCACTGCTCAGTCTTTCCTGCTAATGTTCTAGCTTCCTCTTCCCTGGATCCCGTATTGGTGTCTCTTTTTGTGGTTTGGGGATTTCACCACTGGCTTCCTTTTTTATACTAAATGTTTCTATACTCCCTGGGATCTCTTGTATATCTTCAGTTCAACCTATAGACAGATGCCTTTCTAAACAGGTCTCACACTCAGATGTTGCTCATGAACTTGTAAAAAAATTTATTTAGAGATGGGGTCTTGCTATGTGTTGCCCAGGCAGGTCTTGAACTCCTGGCCTCAAACAACTTTCCCATCTTGGCCTCCCAAAGTCCTGGGATTATAGGTGTGAGCCACTGTGTCTAGCTCCATGAACTTTTTATTAAAAAAGTAACACCTTGGTGAGACCTCATCTCTACAATAAAATCAAAAATTAGCTGGGCATGGTAGTGCGTGCCTGTAGTTCCAGCTACTTGGAAGGCTGAGGCGGAAGGATCGCTGGAGCCCAGCAGGTCGAAGCTGCAGTGACCAGGAGCGGCCACTGCACTCCAGTCTGGGTGACAGAGTGAGACTCCAACTCAAAAAAAAAAAAAAAAAGTAACACATACTTAGTGTAGGTGTGTTATAATACAGACAGAGTAAAAATAGAAAGCTTCTTTGCAGCCCATTTCTGAGAGGGCCATTTACAAGAGTCTGATGAGCAACCACCCAGACATTTTGTTATAACAATAGATTGTCATATAGTCTGTCCATTCACCTATCTGGCCATTAATCTATCCACCTATATGTCCATCCATCCATCTGTCTGTGCATTCATCCATCCATTCATTGGTCCATCCATCCGTTTTTCCATCCATCCATCAATCATTCGTCTATCTGTCCATCCATTCAACCATCCTTCCATCCATCCATCCATCCATCCATCCATCCATCCATCCATCCATCCATCCATCCAATCATCCGTCTGTCCACTCACCCATCTAAGAAAGTATCAGAACGTTGTGAATATATATTGGTTGTTCATCATAGACTAGTGGATTACTCTCTTTCTGTTATATTTTGTCTTGAATGCTTATCTAGTTGGTGTTTATATCGGTTATGTGAATGGAGACACATACATTTTGCCTATTGTATATGTACTACACTCTATTTAATATTTTAAACTACTTAATTTGCTGATATATATATAGATCTATAGACTGAGGCATAATATTCCATAGTATGCATTACCATAGTTTACTTAGCCACTCATCACATAATGAATTTTGGGGTAAGTTTCTACTTTTTCAGTATTACAGACAACTCTACAAAAAGTGCAACTGTATATAAAATTTTATGACTGTATGTTTCCTTTGAGATGGATATCTATAAGAGGAATTAATGAGTCAAAACTTTTAGGCATTTTATGTTTTGTTAGGTATAGACACTTTTCTCTTCACGAACTTTAGATTTCTTTCTCCGGCTGCATATTGTGCCCCCCCAACCCCAGTGTCATGCAGGCGTCACAAGTGGACATTTGCAAAATTTGTTAATCATGACCTGCCCCCACCCACGTCCCTTGACCTGCTCCTGCCCTCATTCTCCTGCCTGTTGAATGGTGGGACTTTCCAGGAGCTGCTCAGCTGGGCAGTCCTAAGTTCTTACTTCCAGTTCCCTCTACTTCTCATTTTTTAAAGAAATGTAGCATCAGAAGGAACTTTGTAACATGCGTATTTGAAAATATTAAGCCTTTGTTCAAAAACCTTCAAAAGTTTTTCTCTGAAGTCAGAGTGAAGCCAGCACGTCTTAGCTTGGCACACAAGGCTGTCCCCGATGCTGGCCTCTTTCCTACCATACCTTCTACTCCATTTTTATTGTTTTGAGTCAGGGTCTTGCTCTATCACTCAGGCTGGAGTGTAGTGGCACAATCACAGCTCACCATAGCCTTGGCTTCCTGGGCTCAAGTGATCCTCCCTCCTCAGCCTCCCAAGTAGCTGGGACTACAGGTGCCACCATGCCTGGCTGATTTTTTTGATTTAGGACCTCTCTCTCCCTGCTCCTCCTACAGGTTGGTGAACTCTGGCCTCACATCGGTGGGCTGTGTGGCACTGTCCTCGGTGCTCAGCGCTAACCAGAACCTCACACACCTCTACCTGCGGGACAATGCACTTGGGGACCTGGGCATCAAGCAGCTCTGTGAGGGCCTCCTGCACCCTACCTGCAAGCTACAGGTGTTGGAGTAAGTCCTTGGCTTACTAGGGTGATGGGAAGACAAGGTGGCCCAGGGTGGAGAGAGCTCAGGGCGATGACTATGAGACAACCTGCAGCTGACAAGTGGGTTGTCTTCCTGGGGTGTGGCTCCTACAGGGCTGTGGGTCTGGGAGGAGTTCTTCTAGATGATGTACAGGTAGATACCTTGCATCCCTTTTGCCCACAAGAGAGTGGGGCAGTATGGCCCTTGCCCTTTATGGAAACATAGAGGAAGGTACAGAATGTGGGAAAAATCAGTTCTCAAATTGCTGTTGCTAATTTGATTGGCACAACCCAATAGAGTTGCAAAAGACACTCCCGCCTAAAAAGGAGGGAAGGTGCCAGGTAAGGTGGCTCATGCCTGTGATCACAGCCCTTTAGGAGGCTGAGGTCGGAGGATCACTTGAGCCAAGAGTTTGAGACCAGCTTAAGTGACATAGTGAGACTGCAAGGCTGCTTTAAGCTAGTTAATCCTGTGTGGTTTTTTCCCCCCCGTTGGAAACAATATAGACTAAGATCTAGAGGAACTGGGGATGGTTACAGGGACATTTTCCTCAAATGCCCCCTTCTTGCAGATTGGACACCTGCAGCCTCACCTCACACTGCTGCTGGGATCTCTCCACGCTTCTGACCTCCAACCGGAGCCTGCGGAAACTAAGCCTGGGCAATAACGACCTGGGCGACCTGGGGGTCATGATGCTCTGCGAGGTCCTGAAGCAGCAGGGCTGCCTCCTGCAGAGCCTGCAGTGAGTGGCTCTGGGGGACATGGGGAGTGGGGAGGA